GACTGATCACACCGGTGTGATCGTACGCTTCAGGGACCAGCCAAGACTGATCACACCGGTGTGATCGTACGCGTCAAAGGGTTAAGGATCTCTATTATGATTTATTGCAAGCGTATGTGGTGGATTAATATGGTAATGAATATACATTTTGCTTTGTGCATGGTGGCAATAAATTTGACAGATACGCCTGTTTTTGATGCATGGAGGCCGATCTGTTATTTCAGATGTGTTTTCTGCCATGCATTAATGGGTCGAGGCACCCTGTTGATGACCATTGATTCATGGTGTTTCACACTGCAGCTCCGGCTTGCGTAAGCTGCCAGTTCTGGCCTTTTCCAGACAAAGCATCTCCCTCTGCTGGTTAAAAATGATTATTGCATTGTGAGGAGGTTTTCATTTGGAAATGAATGGATGGATAACATCTCTGTAAGAAGAGGAAAAAGAGGCTTTGGAAGGATAAATATACAGTATGTATGTGTATGTTTGTATAAAACCTGTTTCATTGACAGCATTTCCTAATGTTTCCCATGATGCAGTGCGCTTTGCTCCATACCGGCCACCAGACATCACCCTGAAGCCGCTTCTCTTCGAGGTGCCCAGTCTGACCCCCGATGCGGTTTACACCGGCCGAGAATGGCTGTTCCAGGAAGTGGACGCGTGTCTGCGCAGCAGCGAGTCCTCGGCCAATCAAGGTGTGGTTATTGTTGGCAACGTTGGCTTCGGCAAGACGGCCATCATCTCTCGCTTGGTGGCTCTCAGCTGCCACGGCAACCGCATGAGACAGATCACCTCTGACAGTCCACACGCCTCACCAAAACGTGAGTGGATTCATTCAGACGAATGAATATGTTAACTGTGAATACGTTTCCTTACGATCTAATAAGCTTCTAACAGAAAAATTGTATAGTAGCAAAAACAAACAATTTAGTCATTATTTATTGACCATTGCATTGTGACTTCAAACCTGTTAATTTGTCTGTGAAACACAAAACGAGTTACTTCACAGCTCTTTCACATCACACCACATCTTTCAAGCTCAGAAAGGACAAAACAAACAAACAAACAAAAAACACCATGAAGGTCGTCAATATGAGTCTTGCATTACATTCTAAGAAACAAACCTGAAACTTTAAGCACTTTCTGAAAGACCTTCATCAAAGAATTTGCTAGTTCATGCTAACTCTTCAAATAACTTAAATTCCAGTCTGCCTCTTACATAAAATGGCTTTAGAAGACTAGCTAGGTGTTTTTAGGCGTTTTAAAAAAAAAGCGTAATAGACATGTTAACTGCAAAATGGAAAATATGTTTTTATTATAATTTAAATGCATTTTTTTTCATAATCTAGAATGTATTTTATGTGTGTGTGTGTGTTGTTTGTGTGTGTATAATTCATTATAAATATACATGAATTAGCAAATTATATATACAAAAAAATAATAATAATAATAAAGACTTTCACAACTTCTTACATCTCAGTTTTTATACATATTTTATTAGTAAGTGCTTTGAAATTCTGAATATTAAAATCCTGCAACACATTTAATTAGCTACAACTGATGAGAATTTGCAATTATGGATATAATATTCATTATGATTTTAGAATCACAAGACTCCAAACATTGGTCACAGTGAATAAAATACATATTACGTCACATAATGTAAAGACAATTTTATGGCCATGGATATAGAAACTCTTAAAGAAATAAAATCATACAATATAAAATTATACACTACAGGTTTGAATGACTTGTGGGTGAGCAAATAATGACAGAATTTTCATTCCTAGGCGAACTATTTTTTATTTAGTTTTTTTTTTTTTTTTTTAAAGGGAACAAATATCTTCAGCCCTTAAAATGTCAAAACCATTTTGTCTCAGTTGATGACAAGGCTCACATCACATGCATGCCATGTCTTCCTCTCAGATGGCGACACACTGCCCTTGAGCCAGCCTCAGTCTGCTTACGGCACTCTGGTCGGTGGGAGCAGCTGCCCTGGAACGCCCGAGATGAGGAGACGCCAGGAGGAGGTGCTCAGAAGGCTGGCTTCTCAGGTGCCAACTAATACCAACATAATCAACGGAGCGGGCATATATCCAGCTTGCCATTCAATCTCCCTCTCTCCTCTTCTCTTCTACTGATTTATTATCTCTCTGTCTCTCCATTTCTTCCTTTGTCTCCTTCTTTTATTAATTTGCTCCTTGTCTCGCTCTCTCTCGGTGCTTTCCTTTTCTTTCTATTCTTTTAAGCACAAAGGTTTATTGCAGCTCTGTTGCCTTATCAAATATTTATATGCGCAGAGTCTCCCAGCACAGCCATTAGATATACTCAGAGTCTGCATTGCTAATGATGACAAGCTTTTGAACACACACACACACACACACACACACACACACATATACTGCGAGATGAAGTGAATCCAGGGAAGCAGCAGTCTTAGAATATTGGAATAAGGCCATCGATGCACTCAAACTCCATAATGTTTTATGCAATAATAAAACCCCTTCATCACATCAAAACCCCTGAGCTTTGAATCTTTCTCTAGTTTTGATATTCATTGTGTTTTTTGGAGCTGAAAGCAGTTCCTGCACTAAATCCCTGAGACTGGAATCATTTCTTTGCTTTTTCTGTCTATTTCTTTGTCTAAACCTACATTTAGCAGGAGCGTCTAGATGCACTGGGCACCTTTACTCTGTTAAATGTGTGACTGAGTGTTTGGCATACATACAGGAGTAGTGCCTGATGCTGTAATAATGAACAACCATCATATATTATAAAATGGTTAAAATCCATTTTGACTAGATTATTACATTTGCTTTTACATAACAGTTTCATAAACAAGAAATTAATGTTAAGTACCTTACGCTACTGTTCAAAATGTTCAAAACATTTTTGTTTTTGAAAGAAGCCTCTTATGTTCACCAAGGCTGCGTTTAATTAATTAAAAATACAGTAAAAACTGTAATATTGTGAAATATTATTACAATTTAATATAACTGTTTTATATTTTAATATATGTTAAAATGTAATTTATTCCTGTGATGCAACGCTGAATTTTCATCAGTCATTACTCCAGGCTTCAGTGTTGCATGATCCTGATGCATGCTGATTTGCAGCTCAAGAAACTTCTTATCAAAGTTGAAAACAGATTTGCTGCTTAACATTTTTGTGGAAACTGTGACACAATGCCTTTTTCAGGAATCTTTGATAGTTAGAAAGTTCAGAAGAACAACATTTATTTAAAATAGAATTTTTTTTTTTTTGTAATGATTTAAGTATTTACTATCACCTTTGATCACTTCAGTGCATCTTTTCTGAATAAAAGTATTAATTTCTTTGGAGAAAAAATCTGACTCTTACTACTGAACATTTGGAATAGTAGTTTGTATTCTATACACAATATTAAAGTTATTGTTCTTGCTTCACCAATGAAGCATTGTGTGTCTCTGAGCAACACTGTAGTAGTGTTGTTCAGAGTTTTTGAAATATCTGTTTTCTAAATCATCATTGATTGAAATATCAGCACTCTTGCAACAATATTTGATGTACCAATCAAATTCAGTAACTAAAACTGAATGTTAATAAGCAAAAGTCAAAATCAAGTTTTTCAACCCAAGCTGTGCTGTGAATGTAAATGTTTGCCAGCTTATATCTGCTCTCTCATGTGCAGGTGGTGGCGTACCATTACTGTCAGGCCGACAACGCGTACACCTGCCTGGTCCCTGAGTTTGTGCATAACGTGGCAGCGTTGTTGTGCAGGGCTCCTCAGATGCAGGCCTACCGAGAGCTGCTGCTCCGCCAGCCGCACCTGCAGAGCACCCTCAGCCTGCGCGCCTGCGTCCAGGACCCTTTCAACGCTTTCCGCAGGGGCCTGCTGGAACCTCTGGACATCCTGCATCGAGGTGTGCAAATAGTGCGCACTCTTATGCTGTGCGTACATGTGCTGACATATATGTAATGTTGAACACATGCAATGTTTACAGAGAGGAAGATCGCATGTGAGGAGAACCTCATCATCCTGATTGACGGGTTGAATGAGGCGGAGTTCCATAAACCGGATTACGGAGAAACCATTGTTTCCTTCCTGTGCAAAACCATTGAGCGTTTCCCTCCCTGGCTTAAACTGGTGGTCACTGTCAGAACGACACTGCAGGTCTGTATTCCATCTATCTGTCCATACATCCACCCATCCTCTTTACTTTTTTGCTAATTTTCTCTCTCTGTCTCAGGATATAACTCGTCCGTTGCCGTTCCACCGGATCTCTCTGGATCGGCTGGAGGAAAGTGATGCGATTGACTCGGACTTGCAGGGCTACATCCTGCACCGGCTTCACTCCAGCCAGGAGATCCAGAACAACGTGGCGCTCAACGGCAAGCTGGACAACGCAGCCTTCACCAAACTCAGCGCTCATCTGAAAAGTCTGAGCCGGGGCTCCTATCTCTACCTGAAGCTCACGCTGGACCTCATTGAGAAGGGTTACCTGGTGCTCAAAAGCTCCAGCTTCAAGGTCAGCGGTCAATCGACACAGATGCCTCCTTTATTAACAAATTAAATTAAAGTAAAGTAAATTTAAAAAATAAAAGAAACATTCAAACTAATTAGAGCATTTTTTGTATTTTTACTTTTTTCTAGTATAGCTTTTCATTATGTATGTTTTGTTATTTTTACTTTACATATTTTTATTCTATTTTAGCTTTAAGAGTTATATGTGGTATGATTTTATTATTATTATTATTATTTTAATGTAGCCTTTCATAGGTATGCATGTGGTGTAATTATTTATTGTTCATTTGTGACCCTGGACCACAAAACCAGTCATAAGGGTCATCTGAAAGCTGAATAGATAAGTTTTCCATTGATGTATGGTTTGTTAGGATAGGACAATATTTGGCCGAGATACAACTATTTCAAAATCTGGAATCTGAGGGTGCAAAAAACAACTTTAAAGTTGTCCAAATGAAGTTCTTGGCAATGCATATTACTAATCAGAAATTAAGTTTTGATATATTTACAGTAGGAAATTTACAAAATATCTTTATGGAACATGATCTTTACTTAATATCCTAATGATTTTTGGCATAAAAGAAAAATCAATTATTTTGACCCATACAATGCTTTTTTGGCTATTGCTACAAATTAAGACTTAAGACTGGTTTTGTGGTCCAGGGTCACATTTTGGTTCTGTATTTTAAGAAAAAAGTAATAGAGTGAATGAAACCCTTTTAGATGTTTTTGAAAGAAATTTGAAAGAATTTGAAAAGAAAATTTAATTTGAAAGAAAATTTAAAATATATATTTTTCAAGTCTAAGGGCCAGATATATACTAAACAGGACAAATTAGCGTTATAGAGCGCAATTCCATAAAAGCGCCGATGGGAGGGGAAATTCTGCGTTTGATTTACTGACAATGTGCACATTAAAGAACACAGACGCAGCCAGATAATTTCCATAATGACCAGCGCAATCTACCAAGAGCAGCGCAAATTACCACCTGCTTTATGACATGCATTATTTAATGATTTGGGCGTTAAATAATGGCACAAATACCAGCAATTTGATGAGCGCAAACGTTAGTAAATCGCGTTGCGTGATTCATTTTAATACTCTCCTCCCATTCATTTTGCGTCTGAAAGGGATATTCCTACAAATGCATATTCAATAAGGTCAGGCGCAAAAATAACTGTCCACACCTTTTCAGCACTAATTCTTCACTGCGTGTCTTTAGTAAATCCTGACAGTACTATTTTAACGCCAAAGACGGTTTGCGCTGGCGCAAGCTGTTAGTAAATGTGGCCCTAAAAGGATTAATATGTTTCATCTTATTAGCATGTATTTGTTGTTTTTATTAAAAGCTGTAAGCATGATGTTTGTGTGCACAGGTGGTTCCGGTGAATCTGGCCGAGGTTTACCTGTTGCAGCTGAACATGCGTTTTCCAACTCAGTCGTCATTCGAGCGCGTTCTTCCGCTGCTTAACGTGGCCGTGGCTTCTCTACACCCGTTAACTGATGAGCAGGCCTACAGTGCCGTGAACGCCGGCATGGTGCGTGGAGCGGCCATGGACTGGGAGGATTTCCAGCAGAGGTCTGAACTCCTGTCGCCCTTCCTGGTGAAAAGACGTGATGGCACGCGCATGTTCATCCACCCCTCCTTCAGAGAGTGGCTCATCTGGAGAGAGGATGGAGAGAAGACCAAGTTCCTCTGCGAACCCAGGTGAGAAGTTCGAGGGGTCAAAATGTGTATATTTCATAAAAAAAAGCATTTTTTTCTTGTTGAATATCCTAAAGTAAAATCAGATGTGAACATTGTCAATGCCTGAGAAATATAGCTACATCTCTTATACCCCATCTTGTCTCTTTTCCCATGATTCCTTAGGAGTGGCCACACACTGCTTGCTTTCTGGTTTTCACGGCAAGACAGTAAACTTAATCGACAGCAGACCCTCGAACTTGGCCACCACATTCTCAAAGCTCACATCTTTAAGGTTAGGCTAACTATAACAACTATAAAAGTTTGGATGTTGCTAAATTGAGAGCATAAACTTGACTACAGCAGTATATAAATGCTTTTGAAACAGATTTATGTAACATTTCCATTGATGTTGTTAATAAAGCACTGTCTCTTGGATGCAGGGCCTGAGTAAGAAGGTTGGGGTTTCCTCGTCAGTTCTGCAGGGGCTGTGGGTGTCCTACAGTACAGAAGGGCTCTCTGCAGCTTTGGCTTCACTGAGAAACCTCTACACTCCAAACATCAAGGTATAAAAATAAAAATTGATTTCCCACAGTCATAGAAAACCTAAAAACATCTTCAATTTAAAGTGATTTCCAGGCCTGGAAAAGTAGTTTTTCTAAGGAAAATCTTAGATATTTCTTCAGTGAATGTATAGTATACTACCATTCAAAACTTTGGAATTAGTAACATTTTTTTTATTTTCATAAACAAGAAGAAATTAAGTCTCTTAAACCTCTCAATTTAAAATGTAGATAATTAAAATAATTAAAAATACATAATTACATAATTACAAATTAAAAATACGTAATTACATAATTAATAATAAAACAGTTTAGCAAACTGTCTGTTTCCAAATTTTTTATATTTCTTCATACATGACATTTCAAAACTTTGGGTTTGTTAGACTTTTGGGGAAAAAAGTCTCTTCTTATCACCAATGTTCCATTTATTTGGGCAAAAGAACAGTAAAAACATTAATATTGTGACATATTATTACAATTTAAAATAACTTGTTTTTCTTTTAATATATTTTAAAATGATTTAAATGAATGGTTTCAGTTATTAAAATTTTAAGATTATTTAAAAATGTAAAATTAATTTGCCTGCATTTATTTGAAATAGGAATGTTTTGTTAGTATTAATTAAAATACTTAAGTAATAAAAGTATTTACTATTTATTTAGTATTTATTTATTTTGATCAATTTAATGCATCTTTGCTGAATAAAAGTATTGATTTCTTAAAAAAAAAAAAAAAGTGTCCCTGAGCTTTTGAATGGTAGTATATATTTTTCTAGTTATTTTATCTTTTTATTTTTTTGTAGTTATATTTATTTCTGTAATATTTATCAGCAATAAATTGTTCATTTTGAGTGCAGTAAACTATTATATATAGCATGATTGGAAATGTCTTTATTTCTTAACTCTGAAAAACATCTTGTCTCTTAATTGTTTTTTTATTCCGTCTACTCTTTCATATCCCCATCTTCCTCTCTTCCTCCAGGTATCTCGGCTGCTGATTATGGGCGGAGCTAACATGAACTATCGTACAGAGGTGTTGAATAACGCCCCCATCCTGTGTGTCCACGCTCACCTGGGCTACCTGGAGACTGTGGCTCTGCTGCTGGAGTTTGGGGCAGATGTGGATGGCGTTTCAGAGAGCGGACTCACTCCCCTCAGCTACGCAGCGGCCGCGGGTCACCTACCTGTCATCACTGCCCTCTGCAGCAAGAAAGCCAAGGTCAGCCATGCCATGTTTAGCTAGAGATGGATAACCCATAAGAATGCAGGGTAGTGGCTGTAGGTTTTGAATTATCAGTCAAAGTTTCATCTCTGTCTCTCTCTCCTTATGTTTCTGTTCAGGTGGATCACCTGGATAAGAACGGTCAGTGTGCGCTGGTCCACGCGGGTCTGCGGGGTCATCTAGAGGTGGTGAAGTATCTGGTGCAGTGCGAGTGGAACACAGACGGACAGCAGGCTGGATCCTTCAGCAAGAGCCATGCGGTACAGCAGGCCCTCATTGCAGCCGCCAGTATGGGCTATACAGAGGTAAGAGATTGTTTTTTTTTTGTTTTTTTGTTTTTTAAATTAATTAATTAAAGAAATTAATACTTTTATTCAGGACACATTAAACATTAAATTGATCAGAAGCATCAGTAATGACATGTAGAATGTTATAATGTAATAATGCAAGATTTCTATTTTAAATGTGTTTTTTGTACTTTCTATTTATCAGAGAAAACTTGTTTTAACATGTATGGTATTCTTTAGAATTTTATATTTATTATAGAATATAAAATATTACAAATAAATAATATCGTTAATATCTCAATTTGCATTAACTTTAGTAATACAAAGGCAAAAAGTAATAAAAAAAATTGTACAACTAAATTAAAACGAAAAATCATAGTGTGAAAACTAATGAAAATGAATTCAAGCTAACTAGAATTATTACTTAAAAATAATGTGTGTCTGACACACACGTGTGTATACATATGTAATTGTTTAATTTAATAAATGTAATGTTTAATTTCTAGATTTGTGCCATTGTATTGTATTATATTTACATTTTTTGCCTTTACATTTTTTTTTTAAGTCATTGTGTTAAATTGCCCTTATCCCTATGTATCTGTACTATGTCTGTACTACTTCTGCACTGGAAGCTCTTGTCACCAAGACAAATTCATTATGTGTGTACACATACTTGACAATGAAGCTTATTTTGATTATAATTTTGATTAATTCACAGATTGTATCCTACCTGCTTGACCTACCTGAGAAAGATGAGGAAGAGGAGGAACGAGCTGAGATAAATAACTTTGACACACTGTGGGGTGAAACAGGTACAAGACAACCTGTACGCTGTGTTTTCATGTAAATATGAGTGCACAGATTGCTCACTAAAGAGTCTCTCTCTGTATCTCAGCTCTGACAGCAGCAGCGGGTCGGGGGAAGCTGGACGTGTGTCGTCTTTTACTGGAGCAGGGTGCCGCTGTGGCTCAGCCCAACCGCAGGGGCATCGTGCCACTCTTCAGCGCCGTGCGGCAGGGACACTGGCAGGTGGGCGCCGCCAACATCTCAGAAGTCATTTTTACTTTGCACATGTGGTCTTTGTTTTAGTCTGAGATGTCGGTGTTGGTTGTGCAGATAGTGGACCTGTTGCTGAATCACGGCGCTGATGTGAACATGGCAGATAAACAGGGACGAACTCCTGTAATGATGGCTGCGTCTGAGGGACACCTGGGTACGGCTGAGTTCCTGCTGGCTCAAGGTACAGCTGTACTGATCACACACTAGATTAGTTGCTGTAGCTTAATAAGTATAAAAAAAATAGTAGTTATAAATATAAAGGAATATATTAGTCATTTAAATGAAAGGAAACTCCCAATCAATCCTTTCTTACCTGCTTTTCTAACTTATTTCACAGGAGCCTCATTGTCTCTGATGGACAAGGAGGGGCTAACAGCGCTGAGCTGGGCGTGTCTTAAAGGCCACCTCCCATTGGTCCGTGCTCTGGTTGAAAGAGGTGCAGCGACGGCCCATGCAGACAAGAGCGGACGCACTCCACTGGATCTTGCCGCTTTTTATGGCGACTCAGAAGTGGTTGGTTTTGTTATAGTAAACTAATGTAAAGTGGATCTAGATTGTTTAAAGGGGTCATCAGATACAAAATTCACTTTTACTTTTTTTTTTAAATCCCCTAAAATAATAATCGCTTTCACAGATCGAGCCGTTCACAGATTCTGGCCTGATGTACATCACACAGGCCAAGGCTCCTCCCACGAATATTGACTGACACTGGCATTTTAGCACAGACCCGCCCTGAGTGAGCTGTCATCAGTCCGCCATTGTTTTGAATTAGTTTCCTAAGCGATTGAGGTGTTTTGTTGCTGGATGTAATAATGAACATAGCAGTAGTCATTTACTCCCGACATCTGAGCCGCTGAAGACGCAATGGATTGTTTTTTTTTAAAGGGAATGCACCCCCGATCTACCTAAATGCATTTATGTTTGCGTGAATCATTCATGATCCAGCTTCACCTACAGAAGAAGTGAGTATAAGGTTTTTTTATGAATCTTTGCAAGTTTACCATCTCTCAGAGAACTGCGTCACCCCATGGGGGTGAGCAGAGCTCTCATTAGCATTTAAAGGGACATGCACCGAAATGGGTCGCTGTGAACAGAGCTGTTTATAACAAGGTAAAAAGGGTGTTGTTTTACACAACCATTGAGAAATTTTAACCAAAGTGTGTTATAGACTTTTCTTGAAGACCTTAAATAATCATATCAACTTGTGGAAAATGGGCATCTGATGTCCCCTTTAAAAATATACACCTTAAAGGGTTAATTCACCCAAACATGACAATTCTGTCATCATTTACTCACCCTCATATCATTCTGTACCTTTATTTGTTTCTTTCTTCTGTTGAACACAAAAGAAGATATTTTGAAGAATATTGGTAACCAAACAGTTGACGGTAGCCACTGACTTCCATTCTATTGAAAAAAATACTATGGAAGTCAATGACTACTGTCAACTGATACCAATATTTTTCAATTTTCATCTTTCGTGTTTAACAGAAGAAAGAAACTCAGACAGGTTTGGAAAATGTGGAGGGTGAGTAAATGAAGACAGAATATTAATTTTCGGATGAACTTTAAATCTCCAGAATGGGGTGCGCATGCAAATGCTAATAGTTTTAAACAGATATCACATACAGATATACAGACAATAAACCACAGCTCTGGTGTTGATGTGGTTCCAGGTGCAGTATCTGGTGGATCATGGTGCTATGATCGAGCATGTGGACTACAGCGGCATGCGTCCACTGGATCGTGCGGTTGGCTGCAGGAACACATCAGTGGTGGTGGCGCTGCTCAAGAAGGGCGCCAAGATAGGTAGGCTGGAAGGGGAACTGTTCTTACAGAAAGAATTTTTGCTAAACTATGTTCTAAGTATTTGTGGTAAAATGAGCTACACACACAAGTTCACACAATTTATTTTACTTAAAAAAAAGATGCATGTATTGTGTTATAATTGATTTGAGGTTGTAATGCTGCGCTCCATTCAACCTGGAAAGTCAGAATCACCAGCTTCCTACTTGGGAAAAAAAATCTAATAAAATACCATTTCCAAGTTGGAAACTCTTTCTGAATAATTCTGGCTGAATATTTTGCTCAGGGAAGAAAAGTAAACATGGTTCTCTTGGTCATTCTGAAATGCTGGAGCCAAAGCATTTTCTGGCACGCTGTTGCTCCTATACATAAAGGATGTGTCACTGATCGCTAGCAACCATGAAGTTCATCAGAGCAGTTTGTCTGCAAGCTTTAATATTACATTTAAAATGTAAAAAAGAGCCACAGCAGCTTTCTCAGGGCTACAACTTCCATTTCCGTTCCTATTTTTGTTCAGTTCTGTTCTCTGCTTTATTCGCAAATAGTTTTTGTGAATTTTTTTGCATAAATTTGCAGCTTGGATGGAAGCAGAGAAGCGAGGTAGAACATTTAGCAAACATGCTGTTTCCAGTTTTTTGTGTATGTATAATTATTATTATAACCAATTAAAATGACTATTTTCTACTTTAAAATTTAATTTATTCCAGTGCTGTATTTCCAAAGCTGAATTTTCAGCATCATTACTCCAGTTTTCAGTGTCACATGATCCTTCAGAAATCAATTTAAACATTCAAGTAACATTTGTATTATCGTCAATGTTGAAAACATTCCTCAAGGTCATTGTTACAGAATAAAAGTATTAATTTCCTTAATTTTTTTTTTTAATGTACTGACACCAAACTTTTGAGTGTATGTCGTACATTTACATTTACATTTAGTCATTTTGCAGACGCTTTTATCCAAAGCGACTTACAATTTGGGGATACATAAAGCGATTCTTCTTAAAGAGGCAAACAGATACAAGAAGTGCTTGTAATACCAAGTTTCTAGACAATGTTCAAATAAGTACAAGCTAGAAAGAGAAGGATTAAATAAAGAGAGAGAATTATTATTATTTATTTTATTTTTTTTTATAATGATGATGATGAAGTCAAGTAGCTTCGAAAGAGATGAGTTTTCAGCTGTCGCTTGAAAATTGTCAGGGATTCAGCATTCCGGATAGGGGTGGGAAGATCGTTCCACCAGCCAGGAATGGTGAACGAGAATGTTCTGGAAAGTGATTTTGAGCCTCTCTGTGATGGTACCACGAGGCGTCGCTCACTAGCGGATCTCAGACTTCTGGAGGGGATGTAGATTCGTAGTAGTGAGTGGAAGTAGGCGGGTGCTGAGCCTGTGGCTGTTCTATATGTAAGCATCAATGTCTTGAACTTGATTCGAGCCGCGACCGGTAGCCAGTACATTCAATAGGACTATCCCACATTAACATTTGAATGGAGCGCAGTATAAATTCCAATGCTTATACCTTGAAGAAGTGCATTAGAACCATAAAAAGCAGATGCATTGGATATACTGTATCATGAAGATCACATGAAATTAGCTTGACATGTAGATGTCTTTCTCCTTCATACCCCTCCCTGTGAGCTCAGTCATCCGAGTCTAACTCTCCTTCTCGTGTGCTCTTCACCGACCTGCAGAACTCCACTGATCTGCAGCTGATCAGGATGGGCTTGTTGCTTTTGCTAATGTTGCTGCTTGCCACGGCTTCTTACGGCTGATCTTCCTTGTTCTTCCTTTCACCTCACTCTTTCACCCCTATCCACCAACTATCAATCTCTCTTGTTCTCTTCCCTTGACTCTCTATCACATTCTCCCTGTTTTCTGTTTTCCATAAACCTTTGCTCCCTGTCTCATACGGATACTTCACTCTGCCCCAATAACCTGTCACCCTTTCACTCGTGACCCTTCCCACCACTTCTCTCCTCGTAACCAGGATGTCAGACACTCCCCACCCGTGCCCGAGGTAAAACACAGACCTTTGTGCGCCCCATCTGCCATTTTTGACTGTGTCCCTCCATCTCGTTACCTGTGTGGTCCCTTCTCCATTGATCGGGTCTGTTAGTGTTTTGGGTGCCCCGATGTGAAAGGCATTTAATCTTCATATCATTCTTGGCTATGATGAATAGAGCTGCTATCAGCCATAAACATGGGTGGATTTTGTGTAAATTTATACTACAAAATTCTGATGGTAGATGTTGATTCTTTCCGTTCATTTTTTGCTTGCATGGCTGCATGTAGGAAAACCAGTGTTGCATTTTTGCATGATGCTGCAGAATGTTTCTACATGCTGAGTGTTCTGTGGTTTTGGGGAGCGTTAACACAGAATGCATTCTTGCACTGTTTTGCAACTGTTTTTCTATGTAATCATGTGCCATAGAGTCATCTTTGACCACTGCAATGTCTTCAAAGTCGCAATTTCAAAATTTCAAAAAGTTAAAAGAAGTTAAAAACTTATCTCGAGATTCCTGTATTTGGTTGTATTCCATTGCACTGTCGTATTGAGATGGACATCTTTTAATGTTGTGATGCTTCTTGCTTTTTGTAGCATCTTGCACCATTAGGATTGCATTTTAATATGTTGTATCAGTCTAAAATAATTTTTTAAAAAACTAATCTCGAGATTTTCTGTTTAGTTCTATTAGGTGAAAAAAGTTAAAAACGAATCGAGATGCATGCATTTGGTCATACTCTGTTGCGCTATTGAGATAGACATCTTTTAATGTTACGATGCTTGTTTTTTCAGCATCTTGCGCCATTGGTGTCACATTTTAAGATACTGTGTCAAGTTAAAAGAAGCTAAAAATCATCTTGAGATGCCTGTATTTTGTTCAATTCCTTTGTGTTGTTGTACTGTAATGGATTTTTGCGCCATTAGCGTTGCATTTTAAGATGCTGCTCATGAAACCACATTGCGATAGACGTCTTTGACCGCTGTGCTAATTTTCAGCATCCTGTGCCATGAACATCACATGTTTAAGATGCTGTAGTTTTAAAAGGCATCTCAAGACACCTGCATTCTGTTCTATTCTGCTTTATTACAATGGACATCTTCGATTGTTGCAACACATCTTGTTGTTTTTTAGCACCTTGTGCCATTAGCTCAGACTTTTAAGATGCTGTTTGAAGTTAAATACGTGTTTATGAATACTGTCCGGCTCTGTTGTGTATTCTGCATCGCATCTAGCTGTTTTTGATCGCAAGAATGCATCCAGTGTGAAAAAATGCCTTCATTTTTTTCCACAGTTGCTGTCAGTTTGGCTTTTTCGGGCTGTTGTTTGGTACCTGATCCTGTGGTTCCTAGCGTGTCCTCAACTGTGCCTTGCATGAATTGCACTAAATCACTGCCTGCCTGCATACTGCAACTGGCTGCCCATGGCCAAATCTACAGCTCTAATAGACCACTATCAATCTCTTATTCCCACCTTCCCTCCACTGTACATTGTCCAAACCAGTAGAAACACATGACCTCTATTTAGGCTCTCCACAGAGAGCCCAAGCATGCTGACTGCAAGTTCAGTAGCTGTTGGACTCAATGTTTTGATTGCCAGTATAAACAGATGTAAATTTCGGCAAGGTATAAACAGCCAAGCTGCTCGTGATTTGTTTCTTGTTTTTCTGTCTGGCGTTTTGTGATATCCAAAAGTTGTTCATAGACTTTGCCTCCTTTTAAGCAAGATATCCTGGCAGCCTGCTCGTTCCTTTGTGATCCTCAGAGATTAGCAAACTAGTTTGTGCCCATATGGACTGTCAATCTGTGCTGACTCTTAGCTTTGCCCCTTTTTTGCACTCAGGTCCTGCAACATGGGCAATGGCCACATCAAAACCTGATATTATGATTGTTCTGCTGAGCAAACTGATAGAGGAAGGAGATGGATTCTACAAGGTGAGTTGCATTTTGAATATTCAGCCAAAGAAGTGTGTGTGTGTATCATAAATATATATTATATTATGAACAAATTCAAAAGTAAGAATGTCTTGCTGATCCAGAAAGGAAAGGTGAAAGAAGCCGCCCAACGGTACCAGTATGCCCTGAAGAAGTTCCCACGAGAGGGTTTCACAGAGGACCTGAAGACCTTCCGTGAGCTCAAAGTTTCTCTGCTGCTCAACCTCTCCCGCTGCCGGAGGAAAATGAATGTGAGTCCAAAGCACTCGGTTTCGTAAATCCCTCTTCTTTCTGTCTCTCTTTACTTACATTATGAGTAAGCATTGAGATTGCCCTGATTGACTGGCACTTTGTCTTAGCATCCACTGATAACTGTGTTTGGTTGACCTTGCGCTATTTATGTCGTCAACATAAATATTTTGATAAGATAATTCTATTAATTAACATTTTTCTGTTTTATATTTAAATATTTTTAATTCAGTGAATTATGCAACTTTTAAATATTGTGTATTTTTAGCAATAATTTTTTAGCAATTATGTGTGTTATTTTTAAATTTAAATATTTATAATTGCATACAGTATATCATATTAGACAGTATTTGTGGTATACCTTATTTAGGGTAGGCAGTATATATCATGAAAATCAAAAATTTTATATAAAATATATAAAAAGTGAATTAAAGGGATAGTTCACCCAAAAATGAAAATTATATCATTAATTATCATTAACTCTCATGTCATTCCAAACCCGTAAGACCTTCGTTCATCTTCAGAACACAACTTCAGAACCCTTACTGTGTTTCTGTGCCTAAATCGTGGTAGGACTCTTGCTGTTTATGGAGGGTCAGAAAGCTCTCGGATTTCATCAAAAATATCTTAATTTGTATTCCGAAGATGAACGAAGATCTTACGGGTTTGGAACGACATGAGGGTGAGTAATTAATGATATAATTTTCATTTTTGGGTGAACTATCCCTTTAAGACATCGAAAGACACCATACACGTTATTGCGTTATATTACATTTGATGTCTACCCTAACTAAAGTCCATGATATCAGTATTACATTGGCCATTAGCCACCCTCCACTGTAGCTAAATATTGACACAAGCCCATATCTTTTGACCACTAATATGCTGTAAATCTCCTTGTTTACAAGCATCCATGCAAATACAACCACCTAACCAACAAACTGCACACATTAGTTTTGCATTTGGTCTGTGTTCTTAATTTCTTTTGAAAACACTTCAAAGACCAAAGTAGTTGCAGATCAAGGATTGTAAAGACAGCAGTGATGTATTAAGAGATATTTTGATCTTCACTTTTTATTTTCTCCTTTATGGCTACATTATTTCTCATTTTGATCTCACCCAAAGAACATTTTTCATTTGGATTTTCAAACCTCCATCCTCTGGATGGAGAAATCCTCCTGAGATCTCCAAATATACTCCGCTCATGCTGTAGTTTTTCTTGCCATCATGCTCTCATCCTTGTTTCAGTTTGTTTTGTTGGTTCATCAGGTTTATCGGACATTTGTTGGATTTGTTTAACTGTTAGGCTTAGTACAGGAAGAGGTTTGAGCTGTCACACTGCATCGTCCCACTGTCCCTGTGGAGCATATATTTGTATGTGTGTGTCAATACATTTTATAAGTATGTACAAGCATTTCCATAATTGTATGTCAGTTTATCATATTTGCACTAATGGTGCTCAAAATATATATTTTTTGTGTTTATTTTTGTAATAATCAGTGTTCACATCCTCATATAAATGTGACGTTCATGTTCAACCTGCGTGTGTCTGCATAAGTGATGAGTCTGTGTGGATGTGTGCGTGTCAGTGTTTGTGTGCATGTCTGCATGCACGCGTGCGTGTGTCTTCCCTCTGACCTCATGTACAGCTCAGTGTATGACTGTTGGTCCTGTTGTTGCTTGCAGGACTTTGGGATGGCGGAAGAGTTTGCCTCCAAGGCACTAGAGTTGAAACCCAAATCCTATGAAGCCTATTACGCACGAGCCCGTGCCAAGCGCAGCAGCAGGTAACCAGGACAGCCTTTAAAACACATTCTGTCTCTAGCACAGATAAAGTGCTGACAGATCATGACCCAAAATTTCGATTGGTTGACGTAGTGCTATGCTAGAGCTTCAAGATAGAAGTCAATTTAGGCCCCTTGACCTCTGCATCACTAGATGTCAACAGCAGGATTAGACCTGTTCTTCATACTTCATGTTTTGTTGACCAATCAGATTCTTTTTCTTTAGAATGTCCATCATTCATATTTTATTCCTTTTCCTCTCCCCACAATTTTGTTTACTTTGACTCTCTGTGCCCAGAACACTTATATCAACTTGCTTGGTTTTGGAGAACCAGAGGTTTTTTGGGTCTATGATTTTGATCAATAGGTAAAATTTCTAACGAATGTTCCGGGTTCAATTAAATTTAGTTAACTTTGACTTTTACAATGAAAATCTGTGGGCATCCCAGAAGAGCAAAACGTCAGAAGTCTGGAGTTTTTTAGGTTTTACTGACTTTACACAGTCATACCAGGAGTTTAGAGAAAATATCTTTGCACTGACAGGGTTCGTAAACTGTACCATCATTAGTCTCATCATTAGTCTTGTTGGCTATACAGTACTTTTAAAACAATGTTTCCATTTATCCTCTTAAAGGTCCTCAACTCATAGACTTCTACTGTAAGTGCAAGAATGATTTTTGTTTGTTTTTACAAAATGGGGAATGAATCATAGTTATTCTGTGTGGTAATTGACAGCAGGTAATTGACAATCGACTTGCATTGAACTCTGAATAGTCCTTTAGCAATGGTCATTTCTTAGTCTTTATCAGTCAGTTCATTGGTTAACAAGCATATTTCTTCCTTTCTCTTTTCCTACTGACATATTCCACCTTCCTACTCTCTCTCATTCTTGGTCTCCCTCACTGTAGGCAATTCCACGCAGCCCTGGAGGACCTGAGTGAAGCTGTGCGTCTATGTCCCAATAACCGTGAGATCCAGCGCCTGCTGCAACGTGTAGAAGAAGAGTGTCATCAAGTTGAACAACAACAGGAGCTGGATCCGCCTCCTTCCCCTCCCCACGATCAAGCCCCATCCATGGTTCCGCCTCCTCCAATGGAGCCCCACATTTCAGACATGGAGCCTGTCCAGGACTTGTTTGAGGAGGATGATGATTACCTCGAGCGGGATTTGGACGGCCTACCACTTGGTGTTCCTGCTGAGCCCCACACTATACCATCGGGACTTCCTGTCATTCAAAACATGCCTCCATCTCCGAGCCATCACGATTCACCCTACTTGGGCCAAGCGTATGATTTTCGCCCCAGTCCCCCTTCAATGTCTTCTCCTACCAGGCAAGGCTACCAGTCCCCCTCTCCGTCACTCTCACCAACGCACCAGAGCTCTCCCTTCCGGCCCAGTCCCCTTCATCAGGCCTCCTACCACTTCAGCCCACCGCCATCACCGTTACGCCGTGGACCACAGTATCGTGCCAGCCCCACCTCTGAGGGAGTCGCCATGTACCGTCCCCAGTCCGCCTCTGCAGGACGGTACCAGCAGGACCAGCTTGCAGGGCGACCCAAGTCCCCTCTGTCCAAGATGAGCAGCCAACGTTCTTTCCAATTTTCCCAACAGACTTCCCAGCCATCACAACAGACCCAGTGGTTGCAGCCAGCCAAGGCACAGATCATCCGCACCAACCAGCCCAGCACCGCGGTGCACTCCAGTGTTGTACTGGGTAGTAGTGCATACAGTCAGATTGCTCACTCGATGAGCGCCCGCTGCCCAGGAGACATGGATGAGCTTGGGGATGGAGGGTACTCTTCCTCACTTCAACCTCAGGGCAGTCTGAGTGCAGGGGCCTTGTACCAGCGTGCCATCAGCATGGATCCTGGCCTTGTGGAGGACGAGCTCCCTCAGAGGCCCTCCTCTGCATACAGACCCAATCCTGGAGGAGTCCGTTACGCTCAGACACCACAGATCAGCCGCAGTCAGTCGACCGCCTACTATCCAGTCTCGCCTCACGAAATGGAGCGACAGGTGACTCTGGGTTCACCAGAGAACCTTCAAGCCCACCGACGTCCAGTCAGCGCGAATAGTGCTGAACCCAAACAGCACCCACCAGCTCCACGCCCCCTTATTCACTCCCACAGTACGGGTCTACGCTTCTCTCCATCCAGCAACAGTTTGGTGGCAGGTTCTGCTGCTAACCTAGGCCCAGGGTTCAGGGTGTCAGCTTCTGCGCAGCAAATGGAGATCCCTCTAAAGCTTTCCTATGAAGGCGGCTACCATGATGACCTTTCACCGGTGTCACCCCCACAAGGCACAGACTTCCGGGTGGTGGGTGGAACATATCCAGGAGAAGCACTTCGCTCCCGCACTACACCTTTCATGGGAATTATCGACAAGACCGCACGGACTCAGCAGTACCTTCAGCAGCAGCCTTCGCTGGCATCGTCCTCTTCGGGTTCTCGACCCTGGACCGTTTCTTCTCTGGATACGGTGGTGAACAGTCCAGCCACTTCCCCTAGCAACATAGGCTATGGACAACAAGCAGCACCCCTCAGCCATATCGCCTACTACAACCGCACCAACAACGCTCACAATGGCCACCTCATGGATGACGATTTCTACGCCAACTCCCCTGGTGTGACACGGGACCGGGCGGACGCTATGAGCCGAGTTAGCCAGGTTCCCACATACCCGGATGTGAAAGTGGCACGGACTCTGCCAGTTTCCCAGGCCTACCAGGACAATGAGTTTAGGCAGATGTCTCGAAATGAAAGGCAAGGCCCAACCTCACCCATTAAACCAAAGAGACCCTTTGTGGAGTCTAACGTGTAAGAATAAAGAAACGGTGTGCAAGATTTATTAGAACATTCTCGAGGAATATCTAACATGTTGACCATCTTATCGCTTCGTTTTACGTCCCATATCTTGATAATGAAAATAAAGACCTCTCAAGGTGAATTTCACTGATGTGAATCTAGCATGTACAAATCAAATGCATCTATATTTGCTCTGGACACAAAAATGAAAGTATCAGGACCCATTGGAGTTATAGTAGGCCTGTGTAACTGCTGTACACCAACCTTCTACTTTTCTGTACCTTTCTGAGAGGGTGGCTGCTCAATGCCAGTCATGGACACATTGCTGAGCATGGCCCCTGGACCAGATGTCCTCACTAATGTCCCCACTCAAACCAGTAATATCCCTGAGAATCTTGCTGTGTCTTGAGTTGAAAATGTACCTAAAATATTCCAGATCAATATTGCTAAAGCAAAAAACTAATATTTAAAATTAAGTTATGTTTGTATACATATATATACACCTAAATTTCAATGCAGTTGTCTTTTCAGTTTGCCTTGAGTTGACATGCACTCAGCAATGTGAAATATTTTTTTGACTTTTCTGGGCATTTTTATTTTTTGTCAACAGGTTATAAAGGTCAACAGGATCGCTACCTTTAACGCAATGCAAATATCTGTAGTGTTTGGTTAATAATTTCATATCTGCTCAAGGGAAGTAGCATTCAGGTGGTCAGCTGTTAATTTACTCGCTCTAAAGTAGTCACACCACTAAAACGGAAATTGTCTTTTCCAAAGAAACTTTTCTCATGGGTAGGTGTGGGGAAAACTTTTTTTTTTGCAGCCTCTGAATTCACATGCTCTCATTCATTATGTTTTGAGAGTTTATTTGGGCACTGAAACATGCCTTCAGAACATTTTCCCTGTTTGTTTTAAACTGTGAGTACTTGCTTTCAAATATGGGAAACCTGACTTGATGTCAAAGCCTGTGTCATGTATCGCCATTGAACTAACACTATTGGTAGGTCAGGCACTTTTTTACAGATGTCTTGGTGGGAAGATGGTGACATGTCAGATTCACTCACTGGATATGACTTTACTAATCAATGTTCAACTGCTGTTGAAAAAGAGCAGGTATTTTTGCAGTGTTTTAATTATTATTATTTTCTCATTTTAAAGTTATATGAGGTGCACTCAGAGTTGACCTGGAATACTGCTTACTGTACAACAGTGTTTGTATTTAACTATTTGTTTTCCTTTTGTATGACCAAAATGTAAATGGCTGTAAATAATGTGCTGAACTAGAACGCATGCTCTCTGCTAATACACAAACCTGAGTGTGTGTATGTGTGGTTTTATGTATGAGGGAAAAGACTGTGGCACAATATATTTCCTTGTTTCCCTTATTAGACAAAAAAAAAAGAGCAGATGAAATTGAGGTTTTGTATATATTTTGCTTTAATATTTTGATTTTGTTTAGAACTGGGTTTGCAAAGGAGGATTCTCTGTAAATTGTCTGTAAATGTGAGCTGTGATGTTTTCTGGGGTGGAAAATCAGAAACGTGAATGAGGACTTTTTATCCAGTTACACGATTGTAAACTGTACAATCATCTGTATGTATGAGGGAAATAATGAACTTATTTAAAAAAAAAAAAAAAACACTTCAAAGAAATCAAGCTGAAATAACTTTCCATTGAGTCAAACTTCATTGAGTCATATTTCTCATGAATTTATTTAGCTTAAAATCACATTGAACATATAAAGCAAGCATTATGAACATTACTTACTGATATGGTAAACATGGTAAAAATATTGCCACTACACAATACAAACATGCCAACACAAAATTACAGTACAAGGGCACCTACAGATAATTTATACATACTCTTTCAGATGGAAATACAGAATTTGTGTGTGTTTACAGTATACACACACAAAACAGTGTAAAACCGTATCTCTCCTCTTCAAGCTGATTTTAATAACCAGCACATGGGATGGATAATGTTTGGATAACAAGTAAGACTTTTTTTCATTTAAATAATGTAAAGATTTTTTTTTTCTTTCTTTTCAGATCTTGGATATTAGAGATTTTGGTCTTAACAATCCAACATTATTTTCAAGTATTTTTCAGTAATTTGTGCAGGCAGAGCTGTAACATATTTTCATATAAAAACAGCATAAAGCAGGTTTCTGCATATAATGATAAGATTAGTCTGTAATATAAAACAAATGTTGAAAATCCTGCATTGCAAATTTGGAGAATAAACATTCACTGATGTAGTGCTGTGCTCTTTGATTTTAAACAATTATAATTATCATTGTAGAGTATTTTAGTTTTTCATTACAGTCTGGTACAAATAAATGTTAAGGCACAAGAAAGTACATCCTGAATCTAATACATTTAAAGACACCGTATATACAACTCTTTTATTTTTTTCATGCTAATTTGGTTTGGCACAATTAGAAGTTACTTTAAAAATATATATAACATTTAATTACTGTCTGTTGCTTAGTAACATTAATGTTAAGTATGGGGGAATACAAAACGAGAAGACTGCAAAAGGAGGAAGTGGCTGACAGGTTTGCTAGGACACAGGTAGGAAGGCAGAAAGGCCATTTTTGGAGTGTATTAAGACATTAAGGAGAACTGGGGATTTCTCCTTCCGACAGGGTCTTAAAGTGCACAGATAGAGCCTCCTCCTCGGGATTCGGTGGTCGCCTAAAGTCATCACTCGTCACCACGTAACCCACCACGACCCCAAAGCACACCAGCAACAAGCCTAAAATGTTTGCCAGGACCCCCTCACCAGTAAACCTGGAGTAAGTTTCCCTGAGAATAAGAAATGTGCCATAAAATTGTTATTGATGAATAGAAAAGCACTGTACACTCTTAAAAATAAAGGTGCTTCAAAAGGTTCTTCAAGCGATGCCATAGAAGAACCATTTTGGGTTCCACAAAGAACCATTCAGTCAAAGGTTCTTTAAAGAACCATCTCTTTCTTACCTTTTTGTAATCTGAAGAACCTTCTTTCGCCACAAAGAACCTTTTGTGAAACAGAAAGGTTCTTCAGATATTAAAGGTTCTTTATGGAACCATTTAGACAAAAAGGTTCTTCTATGGCATCATGAAGAACCTTTATTTTTAAGAGTGTAGTAGCTTGCGAATCTTAAATAACGAACTTCAGATCCAATTTGACAAACATTATTTCATAAAGATTTGCAAGTTAGGTCAATGTGTGGGACGTTTATCTGCCAAAAGTCACCCACATGTGAAAAGAGTTTATTTATAGACTAATGAAGTTAATAATCATATGTGTAGTACACTGAATTTAAGTACAGTATTCATGATTTCTGCAGTAAATGGGCACATAAGGAATATCATCTTGAATAAAACCAGCATTTGATGCCAAACAGTGAGAGATGTAGAAAAGAAGCCAAATATCATTAATATTCACTGAAAGACTCATTCACATGGTGACTCATTGCTTTCCTCCTGTTTAAAATTTTTACCTCAGCTTAGTGACATCAGTTGTTTTGTTTTTTTTAAAGCTATATTTTTCAGATACATTCACTGACACTCACATGATACTGAAGAGCAGTTTCTCTGTGATTCCCAGCAGACAGGATCCCACGGACATGACCAGCAGCAACAGGCCGAAGAAGACGTGCAGCGGGAGATACCAGCTCCTCAACTGAGCAGAGGCCCATGGGAAAAGGAAAAATCCCAGTCCCAGTAACCACTGGAGGAAATAAGAGAAGAAGCAGTCACTCCAAAGATGACTTTACATGATGTATTTTACTGGCCTCTTAAAAATGTTTGAAAATCAGGTCTTCTCAAATAATGGGGGGCGTGGCAGAGTCTTAACTTTGATAAAGAATATCTCTTTGGTTTTGAGACTTTAGTCTTTGCAACTTCAGGGATCTTATCTATGCACAATCAGCTTGTAACACTCCAAAGAGAAAGGAAAACTTGAAATCGCATCATATGACCCCTTTAATAGTGATGTTACCAGTGTAATGGATGTGATCATCCACAAGAGGGTTTGCTAAAAGCAGAGCAAAGTGCTTTCAAACCACATACACTCAGTCGTTCAAATAAGGAAGAAGGAAGATGTTTTAATGCAAATGCTGGTCAAAATGAAATGACTGCAAATTACCTGTATGAAAAACAGCACAAAAGTGAGCATGCCACACCAGCTGTGCAGAGAATACATATGAGGGATCTTAGCTGCCGAATGGAAGTCAAATACAGCCACCAGACCTGAGAAGAGAGAAAGAAGGAGATATTATACAGTATATATAATATAGTTTTATTATAATTTGAAGTAGCCGTTTTCTATATTAATATATTTTAAAATATAATTTATTCCTGTGATGCAAATACTGATTTTTCTGCAGTCTTCAGTGTCACATTATCCTTCAGAAATCAGTCTAATTTGCTGCTCAAGAAACATTTCTTATTCTTATCAATGCTGAAAACAGTTGTATGGCTTAATAGGATTATTTAACTAACAGAAATGACAAAAAAAAAATAGTATTTATTTAGAAAAGGACGCTGAATGCATTTGTACGTATTGGTGTTGACCTCTGAAAATGCAAATCTAGTTATCCTGTGCCTTGCGATTATTAAAATACATGTGTTTATCTGAGGGAAATGTTAGTTTTCCCCTTATTTAACGGTTCAGATGGCACATTAGACATGGGAAATGATTGTGACCGCAGCAATTGAGAATTACAGCTGAACAAATGCCCAGCAAAACAACAGTGCTGCCAAATGTAATTTACTGTTTCTTCTAACCTGCTAGCAAACTCGTGCTGGACTTACCCACAATACTGATGATAAGAGCCATCATATGCAGCAGAGCGTGGAGAATTTTCACTGAGCGTTTAGTCTCGTTTCTAAAGACACGATAAACCAGAACAGCTGCGGCAGAGAAAGAACAAGAACTAATCAAGTCATATTTTCACACGCAAAATTATCCAATCATAAAAGCATTACGAGTATAAAGTAACAGAAGAAATATAAAAGTCTTAAAGGTACAGGACCAAAAACAGCCTGCGTCAGGTTTGAAATTCTACAGATGCTGTAACCTGATGAATAACATGTTCTCCCATGTGTTTTTTGGCCTTTCTACAAGCAGACAGATGCCCTCTGGGCTGTTTTTACTGCTGCTTTTTGGGACAGCTAAACCTCTAATAGGCCAGTGACATTTCAGGTATAATGTCCTAATTGAATTGCCATGACAAGGGTGTTTTTAATCAGACGAGCACTGCTAAAGATATTAGCTCAGTATCTGTCTCTGTTGAGTGTTTTAAGTGTCCAGATGGAAGAACCATGAATTGACTGTGATTATGCTTTAATAATATCTCTCTTACTATTTTTCCTTTGTCCTGTGACCTTGCCTACAGCAGTTACTGATTAATAGAAAAAAGCACACAATACCAACTCTCAGCAGGGCTTGATCTCTGTTTAAAAAAACAACTGTGAAGTATCCCAGCCCATACTGATTCATATATATCAGGGAGCAAATCCGATATTAGCTCCGATAATAGCATTAGCTGGCCCTTCCTGTTCAGTATTGTGTGTGTTTTATTGAAAGCAAAGAGTCACATACACACACTCTAAAGGCTGAGAGACATAAGACACACAGATGTCTTATTAGACCATTACATTGAAGCTCTTGGTCTCCATAAGCAGCTGATGAATCATAAACAATAATAATAATAATAATAATAATATTACAACATTAAATCTAGTATATTTTGATTTCATATTGATTTATTTTTACTTCTAAACGTTTACAATATATATATATACAGATACACACAACATATATATACAACAACAACAAAAAAATAAAAAAAAAATATATATATATATATATATATACTATTGTAAGTAGTGCAATATAAAAATTATTATTAAATTGGTCAAATATTTATTTTTTTATTTTAAAGTTAAATAGAAGTATTATAATACTAATATATCTCTGTCTAGAGTTTTTAAATTAGTAAACTTTATTATTATTATTATTATTATTCAAATTGACTGGTTTCCTAAAAACTGTAGTATGAATATAATGTGGACTGAGACACTATCACATAAAAAACAAACAAACATGCAATGTAAATAAATAATAAAAAGCAGCTTTTGCCGTAGAGTGTACCTTGCCCTAGGCACATGGTACAATTCACAAGAATATTATTATAAACTTTAAATATTACATTATTTAATTCTGTCCCAATCTTAGAATATAACCACAATTTAAACCCAATACTGTAGATTTAAATACAGTTTGAGTGAAATAATAAATGGGTTGATCGTCAAATAATGGCAACATTTGTTCATGTTACCAACTCGGCAGAGGAAAGCTTGGTTAATCACTAATTTCAAGGTATTAAAAAATGATTAAATGGAAAAATGATTCATTTTCTAGGCTGTTGTGGCTAGAGAAAATACATCTATTCAATATTCAGAGCTGTAAACCTGAAAGCCCAGAAAAACTACATCAGTGGTCTTGGGTAGTTCCTGAACTGCAACTCTTCTATTTTCTCTTTGCAAACTTCAAGTAAATAAGGATAAAACAATACATATGTTATCTTTACACTTAATTCTTACCATCTCCATAGAGGAAGACAAGGCCGAGGACCATACAGAGAGGGTGGACGTTAAACTCTTGTGTGGAGCCGTCCCAGGCGTAGCCTCCGCGGTAATGTCCCATCCACACGCCTGTGATCACCACACATGCCACCCCCAGCACCTGAGAGCCCGCCACATACCACGGCAGCGTCCGCAAGCCACCCATGCTCACCGGCATACCCTCCATCACCTGCCAGACAAGAAAGAGAAAACTGGAAAACCTTTCAGGGATGTACAAGACTCCACCTCTTATGCAAATTAAATATTTCATGAATTATAGTGATAGTAGATTTGCTTTCTTCATGTAAAATAGACAAATTTGACCCATACATGTTCTAGATATAGACCATAAGTTCAATGAGACACATAAGTACAAAATAGTTTTTACTTTTCGTTCTATATTTGCAATATTATTTAACATGAAATGTGATTTTAATATTGGCAGTGAAGAAGCTGCATGAATGTGTAATAAGTCTTCACGTTGTGGTTTGGATAGTCGCGTGATGCCTTATAAAACCTTTAGTAAACCCATTATGCAGATAAAGACCTTCAGTCTCCTGTGTTTAAGTATCATGTGGTCTTTGCCAGCCTTACGAAAGCACAGCATCCCCCACTGTAAAAAAAACAATCTGTTATATGACTGCATGATGATTAACAAGCTTAAATTCCCATTTAGCTGACACAAACACATCATGTTTAGAGCTCTAGAACCACTAACCTCGTGATAACAACAAGCTATAAGATGAAACCTGTATAAGAGTGGGAAACTCCTCTAGACGTCATGCAAACCATAATCTAGAGATGATGCCATTTTAAAATGCATTTGCCACTAAATTATGGTGCAGCAGCAGCAGCATCACGCGCTGTCAATAGTATGGAAAACGTGTCACTCACCTGCGCCACGTCTCCAGAAAGCCAGAGGAAAGGGCGTGTTTTTATGATTGGGTATTTTGGGCAAGAATCACAAGATCCTTATTGCTTGAGGGGTTTTGTAACCTACTTTCAAAATTGCATCTGATGTTCTCTCTCTCTATACAGTTCACTCGAAGCCTCTGCTGATGTAGACGCACGACTTTACACGCCTGCCTGCTATTTCATATATTACTTGTATTGTAGCGCACGGCTTGACGCTCTTGGGGGGGGGGGGGGGTTATTATGCAGCGGATGATGTCTGAAACGCACTTCGGTTGCCTTGGTAACCACATCTTTGAGCGATTGCTGATGATTTGATCATCTTGTCTAAATCATAGGCTAGACAGACGTTTTTACTTCCAATAATTTATCCAATAATTCTTCCAATCCAATAATTCTTAAAGCATTTAGTTTTATTTAAGTGCACTATGCTGTTCAAAAGTTTGGGGTCGGTAAGATTTTTAATGTTTTTAATGTTTGAAAAAAGAAAGAAGTTTCTCATGCTCACCAAGGGTGCATTTATCGGATTAAAAATACAGTAAAAACAATAATATTGTTAAGTATTATTATAATTTAAAATAACTGTTTTCTATTTGAATATTTTTAAAGTCTTCAGTAGGCCTCTCATATTTGAGAAATGCAGATTTTAGCGCTCAAGAAATATTATTATCAATGCTGAAAACAGTTTTGCTGCTTTATTTTTGTACAAACCTTAATTCATTAGGATTATTTTATGAATAGAAAGTTCAAAGGAACAACATTTATTTAAAAAACAACATTTTGTAACATTATAAATGTCTTTGCTGCCACTTTTGATCAATTGAAATAAAATAATGTCTTTAAAAATATGCTAGATAAAAGTAATAATTCCTTTAAAATGTATTTAAAAAATTTATGTATTATTGTTTCTTATTTCATTTTTTTTTTTTTTTTTTTTTATTCAGGCAAAAACTGTGATCCTAGAATAAACGGTTTGGAATATGGATGGATGGAAGTAAAAAAAAAAACTAATAATATAAATAAACGAGTAAATAAATTACATTTTAAATAAATATATTTGCTTATTTACATAGGCGGATCAAAACCTTTTATCTTTTGAAGTGGATCAAAACCTTTTATCAAAGTTGTCCTAAAACCTTAAACCAAAATGCGTTCTTTGATCAGAATCAGAATCAGAATGAGCTTTATTGCCAGGTATGTTTACACATACGAGGAATTTGTTTTCGTGACAGAAGCTTTCACAGTGTAACAGAATGACAGTGACAGAACAAAAAAACACAGATAATAACAAATAAAAAATAGAACAAGTAAATAAGGAATACAAATATATAAATCGACAATTGTATGTGCAGGTATATTACAATAGACAGTTTTGTATGTACAGGTACTGTATATTATGTGCAAATTTGAGGTGTAGACTGAGTATGAGTGTTAGATAAATAAGTGTATGAGTGTATAAATAGTGTGTGTTCCACAGTTATTGTTAAGTGTTCATGAGAAGAACACTTTGATTAACTTTTTTGATCCACTTCAGATGTTGACTACTGTATATATATATAATATCTTATAATTGTCTATAAGCTGTCATATGCAATATCTATGGTCTACAGATATTCTATAGGCCTATCTATTTGCCTTGTAGGGGCAGAATTATCTGAGTTGATTTGCATAGCCATCAGCATTCTTACCAACTGAACCTTGAATATCATTCTTCGATCATGTCGCATACTGACCACATGAGGGATGCAATGAGCTGTGGATCTAGCTGCAGTTCATCTGCAGTAACTCCTGCCGTCATTGGTCACAATATTAAAGCTTATGCTGACATAATGTGTATGCAGTGACATTATCTCCAGTGCTATAATCCTGCTCCCCGTCAATAACACCATTCTATTCCTCACTTTCCCTGCCCTTTCTTTCTGCTGGGGGTGGGAGTGAGTGAGTGACGGAGATGACATTTCCAGTATGACTTCACAAAGCAGGGACTCACAATTGATTCACTGTTTTACGCTTACAAATATAGAAACTTTCTCTCCCCGCCATTTCTTTCTCGTCCTTTTGAGCTCAAGAAAGACCACCTTCCTGTCAGGTGAGGAGGTCCGACTTTAGTTCGAGATCTCACTGCAGCGTTATTAAAACGCGTTACCACTCTGATAGGCTACTTGCACAAGGATGCAGGGATTTCTCACAGACATGTATCTATATAGATGTCTGTCCTGTTTTGGCCTTGTTTGACAGCCGCAGCCATGGATATGCATGGGAATTGCGTGGTCCCGCGGGTCCCGCTCACCTCAGCAAAGTCACTGGTTTAGCGTTAGGGAGCTTAAATTGGTTTCAATTTGCTTCCAGAGCACGCTAACCTGCTAACTAGTAACCTGCGTGTCGCCATGACAACAGCCGGCTCTCTGCACTCCAACACCAAGAACACAACAGAGAAGGAAGACAGGAAAACAGCTAAAACATAAAATGCAAAAGAGCACGTTTGAAAATAGACACAAGTGTAGTCCAAATAATGACTTCCTTATTTCAATTCCGTTTGTAATTTGAATAACACGACACGTGCAGTTAGGCCTATACGGCAGTTTTGACTAACGTTACCTAATTACCTCTTTCTCTGGACGCTTTTAAACCCAAGACAGAAAAAAAAACAAATATCAAGCAAACATCAAAGGCTATGTAACCTATATGTAGGAGTGGGTGCATGTAAATATATTTATGGAGGTTATGTAAGTAAAGCATATCAAAATATGAGGGAAAGGAAGTTGTTTTCAAATTTGTTTGTGTGAAATAGTGCAATAACCTCAGTGTGTTTTTATTATATTACTACACAATGGATGTCCATAATCTCAGTGAGGAATAACGTCACAGATGCTTCTGGGAGGACTGACCGAAGGATGTTTTCATGCTTTTATTCAATGTGCTAATGGTGAGTCATAACTGTTAGGACTTAGATGGGTCTCCATGGAGACGTGATGCTGGAGCAGTCTCCTAAAGATTTGGATTGACAATTTTTAATTTTCAAGTAATTTATAGCTACATTTTATGCTTTATCGCAATATTATTAGTAGAGGTTGATTGGGGGGTTAGATTGGGTGTTTAGGCATGTTCATTTTGCAAATCAGTAAAAGAAAAACATATATATTAAAAATAAAAATAAAATCATAAAATAAAATAGTGATAGATCATTTTGAAGTTTTATATTTCCACTTTTAATATTGTGAAATTTTCCACAGTTCCCAAGGGTGCCATCCAAACTGCTGTTTTTTCCAGTAGCCCCTCACTGCAGAACAAATATCCAGGGGGCGTGGTTGGATCCACATCTAGGGGGTGGAGATGGGTGGGTTTAGGGATCAGGGGGTTGAGACGGGTAGGTTTAGGTATATGTAAGGTGGGAGGAGTTGGATCTGGATCCAACCTCGCCCCCTGGATCTTGTGTTCTGCAGTGAGGACCATCTCGTTTTTTCCCCCTGAAGTTGTTACAGGTATGATTTTCTTTCTTCTGTAAAACATAAAAGAGGATATTTTCAGAAATGTGTTATTTTTTTGTCAATGTCAGTCAATGGTCACCAAAACTGCTTGGTTACCAACATTCTTCACCTGAACAATTAATACTAGCACTTACTTATTCTATTCTATTCTATTCTTTTCATTTTGGTATAATTAATTTAATTTAATTTATTTATTAATATTAAAAAAAAACTTTTAATGTGTACTGTGCTAGACCAACTGAGACTTGTCAAAGCACCTGTATACTGTTGCTCTGATTGCTTCTTTTGTTCTCCTCATTTGTAAATTTGGATAAAAGCGTCTGCTAAATGACAACGTAAATGTCTTCAAAATATCTTCTTTTGTATTCCACAGAAGGACGAAAGTCACAATTACCATTTTATTATTTGATATTCTACACTGTAAAAAATTGCTGTTAAAAAACGGCCAATTTCTAACAGTAAAATACTGTTATTTCAGTAGACAGTTTAATCCTGTAAATTAACAGCCAAAAGCACATAGATTAATCACTTGCTGTAAATATGCAGCATTTAACTGTAACCCCATTGGCGCCTGAAAAAAACAGTATTGTGCTGTAAAAAGCTGCATGTGGGTGTGGGGATTTATTTTATTTTTTTTTTTCAAAAACAGTGTGGTCAACGAGATCACTTCACAGCTCGCCTCTTGCCTTCACCTCCATTAAAGGACACGGTTCAAGGTAAAATTGTCTCTTTATTTAATTATGTTGCCCCAACTTGTAAAATCACGTCTTTCAAGAGGTATTCTTGGCTGCTGCTTGACGCTAATCGCGTTTGAGACAGTTCTCAACAGGTCAGGCATTTGGCTAGTCAGTTTTCTCCGACCTCCGATTATTACAGCGAATTATTTGCTTGGTTAAAAGGGTACTACTTAGATATAAGGTCGATTTTCTTTGTAGAAACCCTTTAATCTACATTTATTTTTTATTCATGGCGCTAATTTTAGATACCAGATGCATAAATGTAGCCTAAATGCTAGTTACACCACGCATTATAATCCAAATTCATTTTTCATTTGATTTTTGATGGTGTAAGTAACGTTACTCATATTTTAGCGAGATTTACATGTATTATTAGCAGGAGGCCTATTCAAAAAGTCGAAGAGGTCGTTACTGAAACGCGAGTAATCGCGTTTTGCAGACAGACAGTTCTCAACGGGTCAGGCATTAGTCTTCTCCGTCGAGTTATTTGCTTGGTTGAAGAGGCAATAACCCAAAATAAAATTTTCTCATAACATGAGATCTGCAGTTCAGTTTAAAGATTAATTATTGTGATAGGTGCACTCCTCGCTGTCAATAAAAAAGGAAAGTGATCAAGCGCATCCACTACAAATATGTCTAAATTCATATAATTTTGATTTAATGTCTGCGTAATGACTTTATGTAATTTCAGTCCTTATCTCCATATGAGAGTGGAATATTTAATGTAAATGTATATATCGACATGAAAACAGAGCTTAAAATCATTGTTTTTACTTCATGAATTTTCTCACTCCAGGAAAAAGAGTTCGTACGCATGGGTCAGAGTTTGAGTGCAGGCGCGCAAATTTTCCCGTCAATTTTGTTTTTATAAATCCCACCTTTGGCGCAGGAAGTGGCGTACGCAGCGGTTATAAATGAGGCCCCTGGTCATCAAGCTTCTTCTGGCACATTTGATGACAGTGAAAGTGCACTGATGACACATGCAGATGTGAGTG